AAAAAAAAAAAAAAAAAAAAAAAAAAAACACATCATAGTAAAACCAATACCTTCTCAGCTTCGCATCGAAGCTAAAATAACTATATATAGATTGATTCGCTAAGTATGTCTCTTACAATATCTTCAAAAGTATAAGATAAAATATTATTTTATGTATTCAGAAGTTTAAGTATTCTTTATAAATTAAAACAAAAAAACCCAGCACAGGGGAGTCGCGGCATAGTGGTGACGTGACATAGTTGGATCAAGTATAATGATATCTGACAGTGATTAAAATCACTATCAAAAAAAAACACTTCGATGCAAATCTTTAGATAGTGTTTAATTTTAAAAAATTGGTGGATTATTCCAAAAGCTACATGATCTGCTAGTTCATTATTAATATCCTAATTAAGATAAAGTATGTAGAATGAAAAAGGGATTATTAAAAAATATTATTAATCATAAAAAAATAATGTTGATCTATACACTTTTCAATATGTCATAGCATTATAAAGTTAAAAATGTAAAAAATAAAATCGAGAATTTTCACACAATAATAGCATTCGGTAGCCATTTTCACCGTGAAGATAAAATAAAGTCCGAAATTTTTTTTTCGCATAATAAAGTAAATTACATTAGCTTTAATTTAATATATATATAAAAGTGTCAGACTTTCCGGAACACTACCAAAAGTTAAGTTGAAAAAATTAATTTTTTGTTATCATTATTAGACGATGAGCCTTATTTTCGAAGTCGTATCCATAAATCTATTTTTTGTTACCTGTTATAACACATTTCAGTAACTCTGCATCGTCATTAAGTGACTCCTGAGTAACTTCCATTCGCCACTGTTTTTGTTCAAAATTCAACAATTTTGAAACAAATTTTGTTGCTACGTGTTTACCCAAAACATTCGAAAAAATTTTATTACATAAGCCAATCGATATTCCAACATCATCAGTGACTTCTATAATTGTGATTCAGCGATCGTTTTAACCATTTCTTTTACTTTTTCCACGTTTTCATTGATTGTTTATGTGCTTGAGCGTTCGTCATCTTCAACACATCTTGGAAACGCTTATACTACTCTTAAACTCTTGTTTTACTCATGGCAGACTCACCATAGGACTTTGTTAACATTTCACACACCTTGTTACACTTCATTTCATTTTTGACGCAAAATTTGATACAAATTCTTTGATCCAATTTTTTTTAACAAACAATAATCGCGGAACTCATAAAAACACGTCTAACCTGAACAGCTGCCACTGACAAAGTAAAAAATGAATCCAGCTCAAACTTTTATCTTGATTCAGGGACAGGTGTACTAATATTATGAAATATATATGTATATGTAATAATATATGTATAATGTTAAATTAAGTTTAAAATGATAAAAGGTTCCAACTACAAAGTTGAATAATTTTACTTTTTTATTTATTTATTTTATTCTAGTTGAATTTATAGTTACCAAATATAGAAAATAAAACCTTAATTTTTTTAATTCAAATCTTATTTTATAAATTTAGACAAATAACTAAAACTTACGCTACTCTAAAAAACTTAAAAAAAACCTTTTTAAATTAAATACCTCCACAATTAATAAGAGTATAAAATTTGTTTTTCTACTAAATTAGACAATGAAATCATATCACTATAATTTAATATTAATTAATAATAATAGACCAATAAATACTTTGCTACTCCAAATTTTCATGCTAATTTCAAATCTAAAATTAGACTTTTAAGTATTTAAGTATTTAAAAATACTAATATTTTTAGTATTTCTTTTCACAAAAGAACGGTGGTATTGACGTAGTAAGTTCTATGGAACTGTAGTGAGTGATACCAGCTATGATATAAGGTTCAGAGTGTTGGGCGGTTGATAAGAGAATAGAGCAGAGATGAGAATGCTTAGATAGATGATTGGAATGACTAGAGAACTTAGGATAAAGAACGAACATATTAGACATAGTAAAGGTGTAGTGTCAATCGTGGATAATATGGAAGAAAATAGACTTAGATGGTTTAGTCATGTTCTAAAGAAAAAGGAATCGGAAGATATGAAAACTGATATGGAAATGAATTTTGAAGGAATAAGACGTAGAGGAAGACCAAAAAAGAGATAGAGGGATGTTATTGAATGTGATATGAGGATGGCTGATGTTTGCGTAGGTCATGTGGTAGATTATGTCTAGAGGAAATTTAGGATAAAGATAGCCGACACCAAGAAATTGGGATATAGGCAAGAAAAAAGTTGAAGAAAGAGGAATTTTTTGACACATCTTTTTATAACTAATTAGAAAATAAGTATCTAATTGCATAATAAAACATATAAAAAATAAACAATTCTGGAAAATTATTTGACCATATACGAATTTCAAAAACTTTTTTTTAAATAAAAAAACTCGGGGACGTTATTCTAGGAAAAATATTTGCCAAGATAAGAAATTTTAATTAGTTTACCGTGAAAGTTTAAAATTTTTTAAAAAACGCTCATTACCGCCAGCGTTTTTCGATTTAAATTCTGAAAATTTTACCTACCCAGAGACATTACAAAAGTATTCTTAAAAATCTATTCATTTTTGAACGAATTATGATCTTTTTTTTTAAGTCCACATAATTAAAAACATTGAAAACAAATTTCAAAAAAAAATTACTATTACTCTATGTTTTATTAATCATAAACCAACTGCCAATATACTAGTGATCAACAGAACTTATTTAATGTTTAATGTTATACAAACCTTGTATAATTATTCATTGCCACAAAAATACATTGCACTCTAAATTTAAGTTAAATTAATATTCTAACTGATAATCACAACAATTTATAATAAGTAGAATTCAATATAAGATTCCAGATAAACATTAATTCGAAACTGATTTTCATATTATTATTATATTTTTATATTAATTCAAATTTTGAGTTTATCACATCATTAATGTAAAGATAGAATATGAAATTGTTACATAAATTTGTTTAGATAATTTTAATAGTGAATGTTTTTCAATAGTAAAATAAATTATATTAATACAATGACAATAAAAATAAATGGGTATTTTTTTAATTTATTGTATATTTCATTAAAGTTGTCATTAAACGCAATTATAAAAAAAAGTGTTAGATTTCGGTTCTTTTAATTTGTTTTGATTTTACTATAAACTTTTAAACTCGCTAAATCTCAATTCAGAATCCAATTGGACAACTTATATATATTCACTGTCACAAAATAACTTTTCTTTTCCACGCCCCGGGTTAACTCATTTAAATTTTAGATAACGGCTAATGAGCACTGAAAGTTTAATTAACGAAAACTGTTACTTGCATCTTTAGTAAACGCCAATTGTAAATCAAGCAAATTTTAGTTAAGTTTTCTATGTATATTAAAAATAACAAAAATTATACCTATTTAAAAAAGGTTATAGTAATTTTTAATTTTATCTTATATAGTTAACATAATCAAAGATATTCATCCATTTATGATATTTTTAAGACAACACTTTCACGAAAAAAAATGTATAATTTTTCAATTATTTTACCTAAATCTTATTCAAAAAATAATATTTATTTCAACTTATTACATTAAATTCATGCAAAAACAACAGACAAGATCAGAAGTAAAACTATTATAAATAAAGCTTAAATTAAATATACTGTTTTCAGTTATTTATTTATAATTAAAATAAAATGTCTAATTTTTTTTATAAATGTTCTGGAAGTTTTTAACGTATATGATGTAAGAGAATATTTTGATAAATAGTCACGAAAATACGTTATTTTTGTATAATAATTTATGGTACTTTATATCAAAATTTACACTAAGTGTATATAAAATAAATGATTACATTATAAAAATCATACTAACAAATGGGAATTTTTTATATTGTAACAATTAATTGTTATATAATTGTAAATAATAACTTTATTTGTTTATGTAAGAAGACTCAAATTATTACTTCATAAATATATTAAAGTGTAGATTATACTTTTAAAATAGTTTTACTGTCAAGTTTTTTTTACTGATAAATAAATATATTAAAATGCCAGATGCTAAAATAATTCCCGCTGTCAAAGCCCAATCATATTTCTTTGATTCAATAGGAATATCAACCCATCCAAAACTTCTAACTACAGATCGACTCCAGTCGATATAACGGATTTCCTGTTCGTCAGATCTCATTTTTGGAGCATAAATATCATTTTTGATTTCTGGCATACATCGAATATCCCATGCATCAATACCAGGAGCGTTACCAGCCATCATCGCAGCGCCTAGTGCTGTTAGTTCATTTATAGTGGGCACACATATTTGCACGTTTAATATGTCTGCTTGAAATTGCATGAGAGAACGATCATTTGTTACACCACCATTCAGTTTTAAATATCTAATGGGTAACTTTATATCTTTTTCTAAAGCTCCAACGATATCTTTAATTTGAAAGCAAACTGATTCTTTTGCTGCTTTAATAATATCTTCACTTCTTGTATTTCTGTCAAAACCAACAATAATACAACGAGCATCCTCGCGCCAATAAGGAGCAAATAATCCTAAACGAATATGACAAAATAAGTATAAATACAATTGTAATTTATAAAACATCATATTAGAAACACATGCCTCGTAATGCCGGTACAAAATATACATTTTTTCTTTTCTTTTCATATTTTTCTGGATAAATATCACACTTATTAGATTTTGTATTAAAATTTTTTTTTACCCAATCAATCCCCTCTCCGGCACAACTAATAGGACCTTCTAGAGCGTAAGTCGGTCTCATTGTAGGACCACAGTGAAAAGCAATCGTAGTTAATAATCCATTTTTAGAAAATATTTTATTTTCTCCTGTATTTACAATTACAGATCCACTAGTTCCTAAAATTGCTTTTGCATCGCCTGCTCGAAAGCATTTGTGTCCGAGAAGAGCGGCCTGGCGATCACCAATTATGCTAGATATAGGTACTTTTAACAATTCTCTATTAGTCATCCCATATATTTCTGAACTACTTTTAATTTTTGGAAGAGCATCTGACGATATTCCAAAATATTTAAGTAAAGTAGGATCCCATTGTAGCTTGTCTATATCCATTAAAAACGTAAAAGCAGCATTTGTAGTATCAGTCACAAAATTACCTGCTGAGATTAATAAACTCAATGTTAATTTTAATAAAAACAATAATGCATTATTTAATTTTATAGTTCTTAATTCTTAGTATTCATTTATAATAAGCTATTAGCTATTATTGTCACTATTTTAAAACATTGTAATTTCTCTAAACTGTAATTATTTAATTCCCTTAACAAAGAATTATTGTTCTATTCACAAATTGACTTTGTCAATCATGTATTAAAGGTGATATAACTATAAATTTGTCCATGTATTATAAGGAATTTTTTAAATGGACTTTACATTTTTCTTAGTCAAGATACGTATCTATTATTTTAATGGTAAATATATAACCCATTAAACTCAATGCCACGTGCATTAAAAAATATATATAATCGATCTAAAGTACAATGCATAAAACTTTTTTTAGACCTTTTTTGTGTTACATTAAAAAATACCTTGTGGACCTCCAGATAAATTCCATATTAGCCAAGTATCAATAGTACCAAAATAACAATGACCCTGTTTACAAGTTTCTAATACAACTGGATCATGTTTAATGAGCCACTTTATTTTGAATGCACTAAAACACGAGCTGGCCGGTAGTCCACAAATATTTTGAAACTTATACTTATCATTTTTTCTTAAAAATTCGTTCACCATACGCGTTGTTCTAATATCGGACGATAGAATAGCGTTGGAAAGTGGTACTCCGGTGTTTTTATTCCAAGCTAATACTGTACCTCTCTGATTGGCAATGCCTATAGCAATAACGCGTTCATTTGTTACTTTTTCGTAAGCCATAGTCTTATCGATACATTCTTCGACACTTCGCATAATAGCAATTGGATCTTGTTCCAACCATCCGTCACGAGTAGACAAAAGGTTTGTTATAGGAACCCGATGTAATTTGATTATATCACTAGAATTGGCTCTAAAAAGATGAAAGCTGACACTAGTAGAGCTTACCACGACAGCTCCTACTAATGGCTGAGTTGAGTTTTCAAGGGAGCATAACTTATTACAAGGCCGTACATTCATAGTAAGATAAAAATTTAGTTTAAAATTTAAAAATCAAATATTTTACTTTAAAGTTTTGTTTAATATATAAAACTTTTGGTTTGGTTTAATTATTAAAAATGTATTTATTTATTTATAAGGTTTATTTAATATTATTATACAATTTTATTTTGTTTATTTAAACCATTGTTTGTATCTTGGGTAACTCAAATTCATACAAAATTCTATCTTACATTAAGTTATAATGTTTTCCAGAAACGTTTGTCATTAAAAAAATATGAATGCTATAAAGTTTGTAAGTTTTTATTAAATAATAAATGAAAATACATGATACATAAATAACATTCCTATGCCCAGTGGTGTGTACTTTGTGAACAAACAAGATGATGAAATATTTAATAATTAGTTTTAAGTATTTTCCTATCATTTTCATGAATGTGAGCTATATATGGATTTAGTTTTTTTTTTTTGTGTGTCTCCAAGTAGATAATTTGAAGTTACACATCAAACGTTTGCGATAGTATTTACAGTGCAATGACGTCACCTGAGTAAAATTTCAGAATGACAAATGCACATTGTTTAAAATCGCCAGACGTGACGACTAAACAAAGAGTATTATATATGTATATCGTCAAACGTAAATGACAAGTTTACATACATACGATAATATAAAGAAAAGCTAAACTATAAAAAAAAAAAACACAGATGTCATACAACAAATACTGGTCGTGTAATTAAAAACAATGCCACAACGTATTACAAAATGTTAGTACCAAAATATTACCAATATAAGAACTTTTCTAATTCTAAGTTTTTTAAACTGCTACAGTATCATTATTGTTTTAATAAAAAAAATTGTTTCAAAAAACAATAAGACTCATTTAATAATATAAAATTTACTTATTCCAATGTTAAATTTACCATCGTAAGTGGAAATAGCATTTTAACATTTTGGATGAGAAAGCATGAATTTTGACTATTTTTATCATTATGGTTTTCTCAGTCATGCTAAATCATAATATTTTAAAGTAATGGTTTAATATTTGTTATCAAACAATCATTTTCTTAATTAGTTAATATTTTAATAATTCATATTACTATTGAAAATAACTCTGGTAATTAGTATTATAACATTTATTGTATCAACTAGATATAATTTTTAAATTTTAAACAAATTATTATGAATTATTTCTGATAAAATATCAAAGTAAATGATTGAAATCGTAAATTAAAATAAAATATTTAATGCGTATAACTATATAACTTCAAAACTATTTTTTCCAGCTGCACAACTAAGTTAAAATAATTTATATAATATACACTTCTTATAGCATGATTTTTTCTTACATTTTATAAAATTTATATAATGACAATTTTGATTAAATCGTTGATTACATTCGATTAAATATAAAAACATATTTCATTAATAATTTTTAATTGATATTAAAAATAAATATTACATTAATTGGAAAATTTCACTATTTGGATATATAGTAGTTACTCCGTCAAAACAAAAGCCCAGTGATGATAATTCTTCAACAATTAAATTAGAAAATCTTTTAACGTACATAGTATTAATATTATCTTTCATGGTTTTCCATGAACAATCTTTCATTGCATTACAAAAATCTGTCTCATCATCAATATGGTTATCGATTTTACACTCATTATTCATAACTTCATTGATATTCTCATACCATTTGACGAATATTAAAATAAGTTGATCAACATTCTGAGAACTTTGAATACTTAAATTTTCAAATAAATCTATAATATTATTTAAAAAACTTACTAAAAAAAAATTGTGTTTAATAGATGAGAATTTAATTAAATATTTTTGGGTTTGCAAAATATGTAACAAGTATGGTATTATATTCTTTGTACTATTCAAAATTAAATCATAACTTTTACACTGCTCGTATAGTATTTTGGTACAAGTTATAATTGATCTTACAATATTGCAACTTTTACAATGAAAAAATGTACTTATTCGTAAAGAGAAAAGGTCAATATTACGTTCGTTAAGATCAAATATTTCAGTATTCTTTATGTAAAGATCATTTATCGTTATCCACTTATTAGAACTTGGTTCCTCTCGAATGCTAATATTTTTCATTTGATCCCATCCTTTATTAGTAATAAGTATGGTTTGCAATAGAAATACATCTTGTTCCACATTAATTTTAACGCAGTTTACTTGTTTGTGCATTGTAAATGCTAATGTTACTAAAACAACAAATAAATTCATAATAGATTATATTTAAATAAGACTAAGAAAATTTTAAATCAGATTATGAATATATATATATATATAGATTAGGGTGGCCCTCAAAAATCGAATGTCTTTTTTTTCTTTACGCTACCCCTTAATTTTTTTTTTATGGTCAAAAAAGTGAGCTGTGCAAAATTTGGGACCGATCCGTTAAGGTTAACCCGTGCCCCCGGGCCTATTAAGTTGAGTCGAAAAGTCAAATTTAATAGAAATAACTGATCTATGTCTCATAACTTTTTTTTCTCTTAACTTAGAATAATAAAAGTAAAACTCAAGTAAAGGAAATTTTACAAGAAATTCAAAAATAATAACTTCAATGTTGTTTTCTCAATAAATAGCCCACAAAAACACTA